ATAACACATTAATAGGTTCTTAAATATTAAGATGCCCTGAGACACAGTGTCGTGAAAAAAAAAAACTGTTAAAAGGGCGGTTTTAGTGCTGTGCATGGGTTTGAAGCCAGACTGATCTTTTCATGGATTCCATGCGTGGTTAAGAAAGACTGCAGCTGGGCGTAAACTACTCGCTNTTAATATTCTGTGCCTCTACTGTGACACTTTACATGCTTTAATGTTCAAAAAGGTCTTTATTTTTTCTCATACTGCGAGTCTGAAACCAGAGTCAAGTCTACCCTGATTGGTTAGCAGGCCGGCTCTGTTGTGATTGGTCAACCGCTTAGAGACGTCCCGCCCCTTAGCCCATCACGTACAATGTGTTGGAGAACTAGCCAATAGAAGTTTAAGTATTACATAGTGATGTCACCATGTTACTGAAGTTAATAAAGGATTCCAATGGAGGCGTTTGGGGGAGAAACTCCCTCTGGAGGGGAACTTTGGATTTTAGCCTTTGCGGACCATTTACATGCACATAAACCTAAATAACACACAGCAGGACTGGCAAAATCACCCAAAAGCAAAATAGGGCCTCATTAAAATGAACCATTATTTTTTTAGAAGTGTTATATGAGATAACAAACAATACAATGACTTTGCATGGAGTGAATATTAAATACCTGTTTGTATTGAATTTTGTTATTTTGTCTCATTTAGGGAATGTCTTTTTACATAATCAATTATTCATTAAGTATTATAGTGTTTATAACAGTTTGATCCTGAGTTTGCTATTTGGATATGGTTTTGTGTCTTAAGCATATCAAATTCAAGTGCTTTGTGAATTTATATATTATATTATATAAGCATTATTAAACCCAGTGCTTACAGTGATACATTGTCTGGGTCTCTTCATCTCTTTCAGTTTCAACTAAACTCTAATCATGACCCCGACCTTACTCTAGCCCTTATTTTACAGCCTCATCAAGGCAATAAATAAACGGCTATTACTACTTTCCACACCTTAAAATAAACAAGCTCTGTTATCTAGCTCATTGAAATCATTTGATTTGCCATCATAAACAATGGAATCCACCGATGACGTACATTTGCCCTAAAACATAAGGGTATATTGTCGTCTATCAATCTAATAATATGATATAAGTAAAATATTAAATTCCCAATAGACGCACCTTGTATTCTTTCAGTTCTCCCTGCATATCGCCGCGTGTCACAGAGTCCCAGTGCAAAGTCACCTGAGTGCTCTCGATGTCAGACAGTCTCAGGTTCAGGGGTGCCGTTAAGGGACCTGAGGAGGACAGAGATAATTGCTTATCAGTGAACACAAAGAGGTGATGGGAAGGAAAACTCAGCCAAAATGTGAAAATACACAAAAAGATGAGTATTAAAATCACACTGAGTTGTGTAGATATCTCAAACCATGTTGTCGATTAAGATTCAGATTACAGTTGTAGTAACTGTAAACATAGAAGTGTATACTTTAACAAATAACCTATTGGAAGAAAAGTTATTGAACAGCTTCTTATTCTTATTCAAGGAAAATAAATGTCAAGTGTCCATCAAAATTAAGCACAACATAAACAACAAAAATAAATAGGCACTACTTTGAGGCAAATGTAAGACGTATTTTTTAAGGTAAACAGTTGCAAATATTAAAAAAGTATTGCAGAAGAAGAGAGCGCAATGAGACAATGTAATTAAAGAAGGGCAAGTGAAACGTCCTTTCTTTGCATCTATATATTGCAAAGTGCAGGATTTGAGTACTTACGGTCTTCCCCAGAGTAACCAGTGACAACAGGAGACTCTGGACCCAGGCCGAAGTCGTTGACAGCCTGCACTTTGATCTCGTAAGGAGTGAAGGTATCTGCATCGTAGATGTAGTACCTCACCCATTTAGTGGTGGCATTCTTCCACTCCTCTCGGGAATCTCTCCTTCTCCACCACACGAGATACTTCAGGTGGGGCCCGTTCCAATCTCTGTAGCTCAGAGACTGAAAGCATAGTTCGTTGTAAAGGAAAATATTCAACAGTCATGAAGGGGAGACTGTAACTTTAAAAATGTTATGGGTTAATTACCTCCCAGCTGATCTCCATGTTATTCCTCCATGTACCCACACCCTTCACGTTCTTTGGGACTATATCTGGAGCTGTACAGGGAAACAAATGCAAAGTTGAGATCAGTAGCTTTGAAGGTACAACATTACAAGCTACAGTCTAGTTGTTGGAAAAGAACCAGGCCTGCAATAGTGCAACATACAGTACAATATACTTAAATAAAATAAATGTGCAATATGTTGGACATCATATGTTGCTAGCCTTAAATGTGTCTGATAACAATGATGTATTTCAGGAAAATGAAACCCACGTGCACCGCTGCTCTGGAAGCGCGTAGATGGACGACTAGGGCGACTCATTCCGACTTCATTGATAGCGACAAGCCGAAACTCGTAGTAGGTGAACGGGGTGAGGTGGAGAATGACAGAGTTGAGGTTCCCTGGGTACGTCGAGAGGTTTCTCCACTTGCCAGGCAACCAGTCATCATCATCAAACTGCACTAAGTACTCTGTAGCAAACAATAAATGGAGAAAATGTCTGGTAAATAAAACGAGAATTCCATCAAAACAATAATGCTTAAAGGGTTTTTCAGCTCTTACCTGTTATAGGGTTGTGGTTGCTGTCTCCAGGGGTCCAACTGAGTCTTACAGTGCGCTCGTATGGATCTGACAGCTCCAAATTAGTGGGAGGATCTGGACGGTCTACAAAGAAAAATATGTGAACAAACAAAGAGCCAAACATGTCTCATGGTTGCTGAAATATCTTTTAATATCAACATGGCATACCCATCACCATTAGGCGTGCTGAGGCAGACTTCTGTTCCAGTTCACTCTTGATGACACAAGTGTAATTGCCCTCGTCGCCTCTGATTAAATTAGTAATGATCAGATTCGATTCATCCAGAGAGAGTCTGAGGTAACAAGAGACTAATAATTGTCAAGGGTTTACACAAAAACAAAAATGGTCTTTTTGGTGTGTACTTTAATAGAATTGATAAATTAAAAGACGTACCTCCAGCCAAGAGTGACCTGTCTTTTGTCTTTCATCCAGGTGGTTGTGACAGGAGTAGTGAGATCTGATTTTACCTCACACTCAAAGCGCACATCTGTTCCTCGCATGACTTTCATATTTTGTGGTCTTTTAACAATTAGAGTGGGCTCTGAGAAGAGGGGTTTCAAACAATATAGATCACATAAATAAAAAATGTAAAGGATTTATTCATATGAAACAGTGTGACACTCACCTTTGACCTCTATTCGGACTTGGCTCTCATCTCTTCCTGCCACGTTGCTGGCTATACACACGTAGGTTCCCTGATCCTCTACCTGTGTGCTTTTGATCTCCAGAGTCCCGTTACCAAGCGTCCTAAAACGATTTCCTTCAATAGTCCCCTGTCCATATTTGGACCTGTGTGAGCAGACCCATAAACACACACATACAAACACACGAGCTGTGAGCAGTTGTGTAAACACACTATTTGCATTTAAATGTCATATAGTGTGTGTTCTCACCATCGCAATTCAGGCACTGGAGAGCCAAAGTAGCGGCAGTCTAAGAGGGTACGTCTTCCCTCTATCACCTTGATGAGGTCACTCTTGGCCCCGAGAATACGTGGCGTTGCATCTAAAATTCAACAATAGTACAACAAAATTCAAACCTGTATGTTTTTTTGAACATAAACGTTTTGTCATCAAATGTATAAACATTGCACGGCTAAAATAAAAACAAATTCTTAGTGTCCTAATTTATGAGCACATTTTCAAGTTACCATGACACTGAAAATGTATTTGTGTGAACGACTAAAACGTTTATTAAATTGATGAACTCTTGGTATACATTTCAAAATCTTCCACAACTCATGGCTGACTGAAAACAATGTTTGACACTATAAATGTTATTCAAAGAGTGGTTACTTACGTAACACGTTAACAAAAGCGTTGGCCATTAAGTAGCCAAACTGATTGGAAGCGTTGCACTGGTAGACCGCAGTGTTTTCAGCGGTCACACTGCGTAAATTCAGTGTGTCTCCTGAGACCTGTCTGTTAGCCAGCGGTGTAGCAGCTAGAGAAGAAAAAAAACACTAACGGTTAATCATGTATACATAAAAAAAGATAGTGATAGACGATCTCCAAACACATACTTTCAATGGGTTCCCCGTTGATGAACCAACTAACAGTGGGACGAGGAGCGCCATCAGTACGACACACCAGGCGTCCATTTTCCTCCGGAGCCAAGACCAAATCAGTGGGCTTTTCCAGCCAGAAAGGAGCGGCTGTCAGACGCAATCATTTTAGTTTTCTCCACATTATTGTGCAGTCAGTAACATATCTGAAAGTATCTCTTACCTTTGACCCTGACGGTTATTGTGTGCTCTATGTATCCAAGCTTATTGGTGGCAGTGCAGCCATATTCACCCACATCATCAAAAGAGGCCTTTGGGATTTGAATCATCTTGTTGAAGTTTTTTACTCTCGTTCGTGGCGTCACTGCCAGGTCGTCACCATTCTTGGTCCACGTAATATAAGGAGTTGGCCTTGATGAAGATAAACAAGGTTTTACACAGGAGGACTTCAGAAATCAAAGTCAAGACATACTAAAGAGAAACTGAACAAACACTCAGGCTCTTCAAACAGCTGCATTGAATATTATATTTTAATAAAGGGCCTGCAGCGACAGTATGTCCTTTGATCTTTGCTTGACACTCACACTCCTGCAGCGATACACTCCAGGAGCAGTTCTTCCCCTTGTAGGACCAGTATGGAGCTGGAAGAGCCGGTGGGAGACAGCCAGGTGGGGGCAGCCTCGGCCACTGTACGAACTGCAGAGGAACAAACCAGAACTACTAGTAACACAAGCTACCCTGTGTGACTTTGAACCAAGTTAACTCAGAAAAAAATAGATGACAGCTAAAGCAGAGCCCACACTCACCACAGTTAGTATGTTTAGTTGGAGCCAACGAGTAGTCTTTTATAGGATATAGTCTGGAATAAAACAAAAGGTCCCGTTTATAGGTAAACTAACCACAACTCCACAGGGATTGAATAGTGAAAAGGCATTAAAAATGAATGTTGTTAGTGTCGGTTTGTTTAGTAGTCAAGGTAGTATACAGTAGATGAACAGAGCAGATGTGAGTGTAAACCGTTACAACTCAACTCAAGCCTGGACCTGGTGTGTTTCTATATGGATTTAATAGCGTTTGATTACCAATTTAGACACCAAAATCATTTATCACAATATATTGTCATATGTTTTTCATCACAATCCATTTAAAGACTTCTCATATTGAATTAATGCCAAGTCCTAGTGGACACACAGTCATACTCACTGGTAATAACTTTAACAACAACGGGCATCTTCTGCTGGATGACATTTTTGTATGGGAAGCGTGCATTACAGCAGTAATCAACAGCAGAGTCGTTGAACAGGATGTTCGAGAAGTATAGATCTCCGTTAACTCCCATGGATATCCTGCGGTCCGGCCGCACGGGCTGCATGGTGGGGGTAGCCGTCTGGATGGGCCAGTTGAATGGTCTCGCATACGAGCCTGAAATAAAACAAGGTGTAAAAAAACAAGTACTGGAGAAGCATTTCAACAGCTTTTAAATAGCTTGGGTGTGTTGAGCATTTTTAGATTAGATAGAGCTTTATTGTCTCCCTTTGGAGCAATTTGTCTTGAGCATCGGGATAATAAACATAAAACATTTAGGACAATAAGTCCTAGATACAGAACAGAGATCACATATTGCATGGCAAAGAAACAAACAAGAAACATACAGGTACAGCACTTTCCCTATTGCACATACATAATCAAATTGCACTT